GGCAACGTTGCATGACAAAACGAAGGTGCAGACCGTTACCTACGACATGGAGACGTACCTGGACATGACAGTCAAGAAGTACTGCGACGTGACTGGGTTCGATCCGACAAAATTCAAGACGGTACCATCGCCGAGTCCGGCTGAGGAGACTAAGAATCACCCAGCTCGCGCTCCGGCACAGTCAGGTAAAAGCCATCGATGCACGTGGTGTGGACACACCATGCCTGTTGATAAGGACGGTCGGCTTGTTCCGCCTCCACCTATTCCCAAGGCGCCAGAGGAAGAGGAGATCAACGAGGCTAATCGCGGCGCACTTGCTCCGCAGGCAGCAAGCATTCTCATGAAATTGCTTTATGCCGCGCGCATTTGCCGCTTTGATCTTCTGCGCAGTATCAACAATCTCGCACGCAAGATCACGAAATGGACCAAGAAGGAGGATGCTCTTCTTCATCATCTCATGGCCTATGTGCACCAGTCCAAACATCACATGATGATTGGATGGGTCGGGAACTCCTTGGAGGACTCGTCCATCGGGCTGTTTGCAGATGCGGACTATGCAGGTTGTGGAGAAAGTTTGAAATCTACCTCCGGTGCTCACTTGCACATTCAAGGTTCTCACACAAGATTTCCCTTGGCGGGACTTAGCAAAAGGCAGGGGTGCTTGAGTCATTCCACACCTGAGGCCGAGATTGTCGCGGCCGACTTTGCCATGTCACGTCTTGGATTGCCTGCTATCACGTTGTGGCAGCAGCTTGGGGGGCAAGACCCCAACTTCGTCTTCTACGACGACAACCAGACCATGATCGGGGTGATTCGCACGGGCAAGAATCCGACTATGCGTCACTTGGAACGTACCCACGGCATCTGCATTGGTTGGATGCATTCTATCTTTCAGGAAGGTTACGTTTCTCTTGCCTATGAGGTCACTGCCAAGATGTCCGCGGACATACACACCAAGTCGTTCAAGGATTCTGTGTCCTGGACACATGCGTGTCAGCTCATCAACATTTTTCCGCCGGCTCTCATTGGCTCCCAAGAGATTATGGATCTGATGCGCCCTACTCATACCCAAAGTACGGATGAGAAGGGGCAACAGCATTACTCGTTCAAGAGCGAGGTGCCTTGTTTTCCTTACACGCAGACGCCGATCCTCCCTCAGGTGTTGTATCGCGCTGGATTGTCGAGTAAGGAAGGCTTGCAAGAACATGACAGTGTGGACCCCATCCTGGTTGTCAAGTTCCCGCGCATGTTGCGGGGGCCGCCTTCCGCGTTGCCGCCTGGTCGTTACCTTCGGTCGACTTGGATTCTTCGTGAAGGGCAGTGGCACCAGATGGAGGATCGTGCTGCTATCCTTGATCAACCGGGCAAGTTCGACCGCTATGTGGAGCGTGCTGTGTTTCAGTACCATCCGGTCCGGGGGCATTTGCGCCCCGCAGCTATTGCGGACGTCCTTGCGCCGCCGTTTTTGCCTCCTCCTGAACCGCCTTTGGGCCAGTCTTATGTGCGCGCCCTGCCCGCCAAATGGCGAGCGGTGGTTGTCACACTGGCGCGTGCCATCCATGGGGGGTACCAGGGCTTTACATTGCCTCTTTGTTTCAACGGCCAGTCCAAAAGTCAAGCCTCTCAATTCGGTTATGACCACTGGTCGTCAGTGTACGAGGATGTATGGCATGATGCGGCTGAACAGAAAAGGGAATATCAAGGATATGATGGAGCAATTGTGCCTCACGTGGTCAATTTCGCCGAAAACAAACCCAAGGAGGGCCTGGTGATCCAATTCCTCGACCACGATGGAGGGTTGGTCCATACCTACAAGAATCCTTACAGCCGGTGGAAGTACCGTATCACTATCAAAGATGCTCCAAAAGCAGTGACGGTGTGGACATTGGTAGGGGTCGATGAGGAGAACTGGTGGAATGAGTATGCTCCAGGCAAGGATTGCATTGCACAGCATGCTCCCGATTCTCACTATGACCCTGGGCTGCAAGTAAATGTTCTGAGTATGGGGCGAGAAGTTGACGACGCCATGTGCGCCTACCTCTTCGATGTGGTGGAAGCAATTGTAGACAAGTGGTGGGGGGGCGGGACCGCCAAACCGTCTCGACACAAGTTCTTGACGGGGGTGTGCGGTTAGAGAGCCGTGGAAAGCCTTGGGGCCAGTAGCGTGCATCTAGAAGGTTCAAGAGCTCCTAACGCGAGGTGCTGTTAGGTCGTGCACGCCGTGTGGTCCCGTTGACCACGGCAGATGGGCATACAGCAAATTCTTTTGCTGGAGGACTGAGCAAAGAGCAGTTGCATCTTTAGTAACTTTGCTTAAGGATCCGGAATCACCTGGACCCCGGAGTTGTGATCAAAGGTCAAAGGCGCCTTGCCGTCCTTGAAGGTTGGATGGGGTGCCCGAGGTCCGGATTTTGTTTGCAGCTTGAATAAGAAAAGTTCGTGTGTGTGCCGATTTTAGGAGTGCCTACATGTCAACTCACGCTTTGCCGCGAGGGCTGCTCTGGGAATCAAAGTTCTTGTTTCTTCAACTGTGAGAGGCCTGACGCTTTCGGTCTTGGGTGTTTGTGCAATTGCTTTAGCACTCAACGACCGTCATGCTTGGCTCTTTTGCGAACTCGGTAGATTTTCCTTGACGGCTTTGTGAGTGACTCTTTGTAGTGTAAGTGGCTGTGAAGGCGCCCTCTCTCAGTGGATCAGGGTATCCCTGTGAGCCTACATGGGAGACGTGCCTGTGGATGCCGCTGCACTTGATGCGCACTTGTCCTTTTGCATCAGAGCGAGTCACCAGTCATCTTTCAGACCTACGTGGGAGACAATTAGCGAGCCCACGAACTTAGTTTTTCGTCTCCCTGCTGCAAGGGGACCGTTGCCGCTGATAGCAGAACCTCGAGCTGAAGCGGCATCTTCCGGGTCCGTCAGTCAGGCCAAGAGACCGGGTGTGTCAGGAGACTCGCCATTGAAGATGGGCAAACATTGGCACGGGATTTCGTGGGAACACAAGCTGGAACGTGAGCTGGTCGCGGGTATTAGGAAGTGGGGTGTGATTATTATGCACTCCCCTCTGAGCTTCGATATCGGCCGGCGTCTGCGAGGTGAGCACAGACTTGAACCCCTCATCTTGGAAAGCCTCGGCCACATTTTTGCTGGGAAGGCAGCTGGCACTCTGCATCAGAGGGCTGGTCCGATGCTTAGGTACATTCGTTGGAGTGTTCAGGCTGCCATGGATCCTTTTCCCCTTGAGGAGGGGCAGGTATACGAGTTTTGCAAGAGTTGCGAGTTTTCATCTGCCCCAACTTTCTTGAGGAGCTTCATTGTATCCATATCTTTCTCTGTGCACGTCCTCGGTGTCACAGGTGGAGCCGATTGCTTGCTCAGCGGTCGGGTGACTGGCATAGCGAGGCTCACCTACCTCGCCAAGCGCAAGAAGACTCGGAGACCGCCACTCACGGTTGCCATGGTGGCTTTCTTGGAGAATCTCGTTTGTGATCCGACTGCCAGGGCAATTGATAGAATCTGCGCGGGTTTCTTTCTTTGCTTGGTGTTCATGCGAGCTCGGTTTTCAGACGGGATGAACCTTGGAAACCTGCAATTGGACACTCCAAGTGGTCTAGCCAATGAGGTGGCTGGATACTTAGAAGGAGAGGTTCTTCGATCAAAGACTTCCTTCACGACTGAAAGAAAGACGATGCTTTTGCCCATGGTCTGCCCACGCTTAGGCGTCACAGGACTCGATTGGGCGGGAGTGTGGATGAAGCTACGGGAGCTTCACAAGATGCCGACGGGCAGCGGTGTGCCGCTGCTCCCTGGTACAGGAGCTTCGGGAGAATGGCTACTCGTGCCACCGAGCGCCACTGTCGCTGCATCCTGGCTTAAGGGCATTCTGAGCAAAGGAGGTTTTGATCACGGGGCCCTCGCCAAGTTGGGTACCCATTCGTGCAAGTGCACTACCCTCAGCTGGTGCGGGAAATTTGGTCTCGATCAGTCTGTGCGTCGCACACTCGGTTACCACACAGACCGAGCTGCTGCGATGGTCATTCTTTACTCTCGTGATGAGATTTCTAGTGCTGTGCGAGCTCTGGAGAGAGTCCTTGGTGAAATCAGGGAGGATCGTTTTAGGCCTGATGCCACTCGGAGCGGACATTTTCCTTGCGAGGTGGCGACGCCCTCAGCAGAGCCCGAGGGTGATCCTCCCGACTATGAATCCAACGGTGGAGCTAGCGAGTCGGAAGATTCACAGGACGAAGAGGACAACGTTGGTGATCTCGGAGCCGAGGAAAGAGCTCTGGAGGAGATTGGAGCGCCGTGGAGACCACAGGGCGCTGCCAGTGATCGCCGTATGTTCCGGCACAATCTCTCGAGGATCATTCATTTTGTGGCCGACGAGGCCGGTGCCACTTTTGCATGTGGAACAAAGATCTCTTCGAATTACGTTGAGATGAACAGTGGAGTTTCCTTTTTGCATCCTTTGTGCAAGAAGTGCCACCCGGTCCGATGAGAGCTGGTTCGGGCTGGACCGGAGTGGGTTTGGGTTTGTCACATCCAACCCGGTAGAGGAGCTGGTGCGGGCTCGGGTTGGGTGGATGCTGGTGCCTCCACTCGCATGTCGGCTGATTCGGGCCCGAGCTGGAATTTTGGGCACAGCATCGCATGATACCTTCGATGGCCTTGAAGGATCGTGAGAGTCCTTCTTGGAGACTTGAGTCAGCGCTATGAGGATCGCTTGGATCCGGGGCGATCTGCCCTTGGCGAAAGGGCAAGACTTTGTGTTGACGTGCTTAGCAGTGACGTGGGTCATGGTGGATCGCAAAGTCTTGTCTTGTTTGAGCGTCGAGTCTATGGCGTGCAGCAAATACAGGGTCCTGTGATGTGTGCTGCGCGAATGCCGAGTGAAGTGATTACTTTTGCAGAGGTGCTGTAGAGCAACAGTGTGGAGAGGCGAAGCGTAAATACTGCGTGAACAAGTGTGCTTCTCAGAGCTGGCGGAGGGTGTAGTCGTAGCAATGTCGGTCACTGATTCCGCCGCAAATTTCCGTGCGAGGGCCATCGCGCTGGGGCTTGATGAGGCCGTTCTGCAGAAGATCGTCGACGGGGGTATTGACACATTGGCCAAGTTTGCCTTTTCGTCTTCATACACCCCGGGCGCTCAGGATGAGAAGCCTTTTCTTGATTCCATCGCAACTCTTCTGGGTAGGGATGGTAGCGTGGGAGAATTGTCAGTACTTCGACGCTTATTCCATGAATCCTACTCGCTCACCTCTGCTGAGTTGAAGCAGTCAGTGGAACGTGTCGAGGACGGGCCTGTCAAGAGATTGGCTCAGCCAGACAGGGCCGACCGGTTGGCCAAGCAACAGAAACGCTTACCTGGGATAAGCATCCGAGGTCCTCTTGAGCCATCTGATCGACTCGTGGATCGTTGCGTGGCGATCTATGAGGAAAACCGGCTTGTCTACGTTGAGCTTTCAGCCTGCACCTCTAAGGAAGATGAAATTAAGCAAGCCACGCTCAAGGAGGACAGGCATCTTGTCGTAGAAAGCGGGGGAAATGTTCGACTCAAAGGCCTGGTGAACAACAAGATGGATGCAGACATTTCCTCTGATTTGCTCATGCGGTATGCTCTTACTAGGCGTGGCCTAGCGATGGAGCAAGCGGGAATCATCTCATATACACTGCATGACGCATGGACCGAGCAACTGCTCGCGTGCCGTTTCCGAGAACCCCCGACAGGGTACAGCCGCGTTTCCTTGCAACAGGTCATTCATGCTGACAGGCAATTCTTCATCAAACTTGCCGAGCTCACCCGGGAAGGAATACAGCTTCAGGCGAAGGGTAGACCATGTGATTTGCACTTCGAGACAGCTCGCAATCACCCGGATGTGGCGCACCTAATGCAACCCCTTCTTGCAGCGGTGCCTAGACCAGACCCCACATGGACGCCCCGAAAAGGCGACGGCAAGAACGGCAAGGGAGGTAAAGGTCAGAAGGGCGGTAAAGGGAAGCGGGACACCACTGCCATCACTGCTGCGATGCCTAAGGAGATTGCTGATGGGGGGTTATCTTTCACGCCTAAAGGGTACGCAATCTGTTGGGATTATAATCTCAATAGATGCAAGCGCAGAGTGACATCAGGAAGGTGCGACAAAGGGTTGCACATATGCTGCCGTGCTGGCTGCCTGAAGTCTGGGCACTATTACGGCAACTGTCCGAAAGCAGGTGGTTCTTGACTAGGTGTCTCAGGTCCGGTCGGTTCCACCTCCCATCAGGTCGGAGCCGATACAGGTATGAGCGTTGATGCAGCCGGCGGTGCTTCCGCCGAAATCCTTTCACAACAGTTGCTTGAGGCTGACAGGTTGCCCACTCCAGAGGAGATTGAAGAGCTCGTTAGCCTCTTGCCGCATGGCGAGTTGACCGGCGAACGCCGGAGCAACGCGGACGCTTCTTGCAGTGCATTCCATAGCGGTGCTTTTGTACACATCAAAGTGGGATTGCGTCGAAATTGCAAAATCTTCCCAAGCACGACAAAGCTACTATCGAGAATTCTGCGGCATGCCCGTCCTGGGCATGAATTTACTTCCTTGCTGCTTTCTGTTGACAACCAGACTGCATTGCATGCAGATAGCCAGAATGCCTTCATCCCAAACTTGGTCGTTCCACTAAACAGGTTTTCTGGTGGTGGGATTTGGGTGGAATCCGATGTTGGCAAAGAGCGTTTGACAGTCGATGGCCAAGAGCTGCTGGGAACCACCTTGGATTTAGGGTTAGGCCCCGTAAGATTTCAAGCTAGGGTTCAGAAGCACCTCACCCTGAGTTGGGAAGGTCGGCGAATGGTCCTTATCGGATACTCTGTACAAGGCGGTGAGATGCTTCAAGACTCGGATAAGGTTGAGCTGAAAGCCTTGGGGTTCGCACTTCCATCGCAGTACCCCGCCACCGGCAACCAGGTGGCTGAGCAAGCGTGTTTTGCGGACTTCAGGAATGGGACCAGCAGCCCGCCACTTCTTGAGCAAAGGCCGGCATATGATCCACAGCACATCGGCGATCCGTCGAGGAGTCCAGTGCAAGGGATCGTCATCGAATTGTTTGCTCGTAGTGGTGCCTTGTCTAGGGTTTTCAAACAACATGGGTTTGAGGTTTTCCCAGTGGATCGTGGGGGGCACAGGCTCCCTTTGTCTAAGTTGTGTGCCCTTGATTTGGCGCAAGCGTCGAGTTGGACCTACCTCGAGGAAGTTCTTGAAACCTACCCAGTTCTTTATGTCCACGCTGAGCCGCCTTATGCCACGTTTGGGCCACAGCAGGCGTTTAGGCACTTAGTCAACGGGGTCACGAGCCCCGTGGGAACCGTCGACTCCAAAGCTGTTGATCGACTCGCTTTAGCTGACTCCATGGTCAACCACTTGTGCACTTTCTTGCAAAGCGTGGACAAACGAGGTATTCCTTGGACCTTGGAACACCCAAAGGCCAGCCTTCTTTGGAATCTGCCGAATGTGCGGGCTTTGCCTTCAACTTCTGAGGTTGTTTACGATCTTTGTAATTTCGGGTCTGCCCTTAAGCTTCGCCGCCAACTTAGGACCAATTGCAAGGCTTTAAGGTCCCTAAACTGTTTGTGCAAAGGCGACCATTCGCATGGCCAAGTCGAAGGTGGAGTCGTCACACACCCTCCCGAATTCTGCAAACATGTCGTCCAAGCAATTGCGCGGCACCATGGACTTGCTTGCCCCGACGTGGCTTTGTCATCCACGCCAGCTGGTGTTGCCCAGCAAAAGAGAGGCAAACCTGAAGCTTCGCTACTGCCTGAGTTCGGCAAGGTCTTGCAGGTAGATGTCGATCAAGTTCCGCCAGTGAACCACAAGCAGTGCCTCACTCGCCCGTTGGGCGAGGTGCCAGCAGGATCCAAGCTCATCGCCACGTCTCTTCTCAGGGGTGATGCGGGTGGCGATGCGGGTAACGAGGGTAAGAAATTTCGCCTTTCTTTAGGAGTTTTTGCCACGCCAGATGAGTTCGTTGATGCGGCCAAGGACTTGCTACATCCTTTTGCTGCTTCGGCTGTTCTGTCGCCTATCGTGAAAAGGCGTTTGTTTGAGGCCTTGACCAAAGGTCCTGAATGGGTTCAGCGACAACGGTGCTCCAAATTGAAATTGTGGCTTAGCTGGGCCAAAGAACTGCAAGTTGCCGAAGGAGAAATGAAAGGTAAGCTAGATCCTGACATTGGCCGCGTGCTTCGAGGCAAGCGCTTGTTGCTTCTTAAGCGTATTGCTGATGATATGGACTGGCCCGACAAGGATTGGTTGGGTGAGCTCTTGGAAGGGTTTGACTTAGTCGGTAGTCAGAAGCACACCGGGGTCTTCAAGCGAGAGTTGCGACCACAAGCAAGAACTAAGGCGGACTTTCTTGATGCTAGCAAGTTCTTGCGACCGGCACTTCTGGGCAAGGTCGCCTCTGAGGGTCTGAACGAGCATTCTCAGGAACTCTGGGACAAGACCTTGGAAGAGGTGACGGACGACCTTCTTGAAGGACCTCTGACGCAGGAGGAGGTTCATGCCAGACATGGTGACCATTGGGTCCCGGTTAGGAGGTTCCCGGTGGTACAATCTTCAGCGGGCAAGAGGAAGCTTCGACCGATTGATGATTTTTCGGAGAATCTAGTCAACGGTTCTTTTTCGTATGCCGATAAGATTGACTTGCGTGCCCTTGACGAAATCATTGCCATCTGCCGATGCTGGACCCAGGCATGCACTTCAGAACATCAGTTCTTTTTCGCGATGCCTGAAGGGCCACCGTTGGTGGGCCGTGTCCACCCTCTGTGGGTCAGCGGGGCTTGGGAGCCTTTGCTTACAACGTTCGATTTGAAGAATGCTTATCGGCTTATCGTCAATTCCCATTGTCACCAGGCAGCCGTGCTCATGCGATCATTGCACTGTTGGACCCGAGCAGTCTTGGCGTGGGTTTGTTCGAGTCCAAAGCGCTACCCTTCGGTAGCACGGCGTCGGTGGTGCACTTCAATCGAATGTCACGTTTGTTTTGGAGGATTGGCCTTGAACTTCACCTGTGGTGGAGCAATTTTTATGATGACTACCCAGTCATGACGCCAACACTGCTTAAGGATTCCACCATGGCGACTATGATGCTCCTGTCCCAGCTGTTAGGGTTTAGTGCCTCCCTTGAGAAGTTGGCCCCATTTTCTTCGGTTGGTACGATGTTGGGCGTTGAAGTAGACTGCAGTTCAGCGCCCGATGCGCTCATCCGTGTTCGCAACAAAGAGGGTCGTGCCAGCGAGGTGTGTGAGGTCATACAGGGATGCATTAAGGCTGGTGTGGTAAGGCAAAGGGATTTCGCCCGTGTCGCTGGCAGGATTCAGTTCTCAGACTCGCAAATCATGGGACGTACCGGCAAACTAGCTTTGGCCGAGTTGCGAGCCTCATCGGCCAGGCATGCTGACAAGTTCCGTCTTGGAGAGCAGGAGGTTAGGGCCTTTGATTTCTTGGTCAGTCGACTGTCCTTTGGTGCTCCTAGGGTTGTACCCTGCTCGGTTCCTCCGAAACCGATTCTTGTCTTTACCGATGGCGCCAGCGAAGGATCTATCCACACAGTGGGGGGAATCATGTTTGACCCGCGAGAACAACAACCGAAGTACTTTGCTTGCCATGTGTGCGACAGTGTCGTCTCGACCTGGTCCCGGGACCTTCAGCACATCATAGGTCCAGTCGAGGCCTACGCTGTGCTCACAGCGAGAAAGGTCTTTCATCAGTCTCTGTCGGGACAATATTGCGTGTACTTCATTGATAACGACGGGGTACTGCTTAGCTACATCAAGGGTACGTCTTCTAGCAAACCTATGCGAGACATTTTGCTGATGTGGGAGTCCCTGGAGATGCATGCTCACACGTGGGCGTGGTGGGCTCGTGTGCCATCCGCATCCAACCCAGCCGATGCGCCGTCAAGAGGCGAGCTGGATGAGCTTGTCAAAGCTGGGGCATTGCGTGTGGATTGTGATTGCCCGCTTACCGGTACAAGACTTGTCGACTTGTAATCAAAAGGGGGCTCCCGTACTGCATTGTTTGGGGGGATCGGGCAGCCCGGTTCGCCCCGAGCAAAAAGTCCACCGTGCGAGTGATTGAGCTTGATTGGAATCATTTCATACCTATATTTATGGAGTCTCGCCGTTGCATAATTTGATGCCGACTTTCTCTCTTGAATAACATTCTCGAGTACACGATTGGAGGTTTTTGGACTTTTCCGAGCTTAGCAAAAAGAGCAGTTGTAGACTTGTCTACCAACCCCTTTTTGCGCGCGAGGCGAGCCACTTGTGGCGAGCTTGCAAAAATCCAAAAAGTACCCTAATCCCTATCCCGTGTGCTTTACCTCACCCTAAGCACCGGTATTTGGTGTGACCATTTCTTGTGTCGTGCCATTCTGAATGCTTGGCCTATCCGTGACATTCATCTCAAGTGGTGGGGGGGCGGGACCGCCAAACCGTCTCGACACCCACCCACCACACCCTGTCGAGACATCGTTGCTTCGGCTTGCAGCGCCGACTTCTGCTCCCAAGGAGAAGTTCAGTTTTCTGCCAACTTCCGGAAACTTACGCCTCGATTGAGGCGGCGATCTCGGTCGCTGACTCTCGTGACTTTAGCTGCTTCCGAAGTTGTGCCAATCTCACAAATGTGAGAACGCGCCTAGCCCGAGCCTGGATCGGGCAGCCCGGTTCGCCCCGAGCAAAAAGTCCACCGTGCGAGTGATTGAGCTTGATTGGAATCATTTCATACCTATATTTATGGAGTCTCGCCGTTGCATAATTTGATGCCGACTTTCTCTCTTGAATAACATTCTCGAGTACACGATTGGAGGTTTTTGGATTTTTCCGAGCTTAGCAAAAAGGAAGCAAGGAAAATCAACCCTAACTCCGTGATCTTCATTGGTGCAGGGGTGTTAGGCAAGAATTCGTGGCTGAGTCGGAAAATCGCTGACAACCCTGAAAGGGCCAAATTGCGGACAGACTACCCATGGGGGGAGGTCGTCCAAAGAATTGCGCGCAGAGCGGCATCATGGGGGTTCCAAATCATCATCGAAGTACCTCCTCGAGTACCAGTCCAGGAAACCAAGCAGTACAAGGGACTTCAGGAAGATGCCATGTGGAAGAGCATCAAGATCCAAGGATGCACTCACGGGCAACGTTATACCTTTCGGGATCCTGTATCTCCCGGAACCGCCGTTGAGCTCGGCTACTGCAAGGATGAATGGGAGTACATTGCCGCAAACGTCGCGTTGCATCCTAAGTCGTCTGACGTGTGCTCGTCCAAACATTTGCACATGACCGATTCGGACGCTAAGGATCGATCTGATAAATGCGAGTTGACTAGCCAAATCTCCAGGAGATTGCTTAAAGCCTTGAAATTTCAGGCAACGGGCGATGGGAGATTGGTAGCCATGCCGTCGAAGGCTGGTGGACGAAAGCCTGACCGCATGATCGTTGACCTATGTGGCTTGGGCAATGGCTACGCCGTGCCTAAGTCCACTAAGGGATGCGCTCGCATAACTTGCAAGGAGCTGATTGGCTCTAAGGCCGATGAGGACAGCCTTATCGGTGCAATGAAGGATGCGTGCCGGAATGACCTGCGCACACCTGTGCTATTCGTGGCATCGCTTTTGCGATCAGGTGCTGGTCCTGGAAGTAGTGAAGGGGCTTGCGTGGGGGGTGAGAAACGTTCCGGTGGGAAGTACAAGGTTTTCAGAAGTGTCTTGAAATCTCTCAAACGCCTGCTGAAGAAGTGTGCGGAATTTTCCGACGTCTATTTTTCGCTTGACATGCCTTCTTCATGTTCATGTTGGTCTTGGCCAGAGTTGCATGCTCTTGTTTCAAGTGGCAAAGTGACGAAGGTTAAGATTGATGACCATGTTGGTGCTGGTGGCGATGGTGGTGGGCGCAGGATCATGTTCTCTAACATGCCTGAAGCGGATCGTTTGATGGTGAGACTGGATGATTGCTTGGACCATGAGTCGAAGAGCAGTTTGTCGCAGCGCATTGATGTTTCATGGCGGTCGATTGCGAGGAATGTTCGCAGCCTCGTTCGAGCTCATGTCAGTGTCAGTCACGATGCACATGAATCTGAGGACATTGCATGGCAGCAACATCAGTGTGTAGACGCTGATGAAGGGGCTATTAGACAGCCCCAACTAAGGAACAACTAAGGTCTGACCGGACGGATCGGGGAAGGGTGCCTCTTACGGAGAACCCGGAACCGTGAAGTCGTGGTACGCCACAAGCATCATGTAGGCCCCGACGGTTTTCCACATCCGTGCAGAGATTGTGCTTGTTCTCATAACGGATCAAGACCACATCACCCCGTACGGCTTCGCCTCCGCGTCGCGGTCGGGCTTTGGCCTTGGGTCGTCGGTCCGAGGATGCAACACTCACATGGTCTGTGGTGTCAACGTCCATTGGCTCAGCCTCTTGTGGAGGTACTCGACGTGGATATCGAAGAAGGCTTTCCTTGATGATCTGGATGCCTCGAAGTACCAGATCCCGGGTTGCAGAATTTTCCGTGCAATTGGACAGAGTGTGTAGATCACTGCCACAAGCGATACAGAACGTGAGGCGGTCACTTCCGACCGACATTTCGCCCTGAGCGAGCACTCCCACATAGTCCTGAAGCTGTGCGACAAATCCTTCACGAATCGCCTGCCTGGGATCAGGGCCTTCTGCACCTTGTTCTTCTTCGGGTTGCGCATCCACATCTACATCCTGTGCAGGTATTGGTGGAGCAACGGAGAACCCTGGATCGTCCGTGACGTTGTCAGCGGCCTGTGTCTCGTCGGTTCTCGCAATCTCTACGGGGTAGATATCACCATCGACGATCACTGTGAAATCAATCACGAGGTCAGCGGACATGTTGTTGACGATCTCAGCGACTGCTTCATTCTTCTTGGGCGGTGTCCTTTTGCGTGGGGAGTCAACCGTGATCAGCTCGATAGCTTCGGCCGACGCGTAGCGGAAGAATGATCTTTCGATTCCCCTCACGCACGCATTTGCTCCCTCAAGGCCACCCCAATTCGGAAAATGACTTGGGTGTCTCATTGCAATTGTAAGAAGCCCGAGCGCCAGCTCCACCGTGTCACCCAGGAGTTCCTCCTTGGGCAAGGCTGACCCTCTGTAGCATTCTTGGCGCTCTTCCGGAGTCAAAAGCATTCTCATGAAACCAGCATAAGCGCAGTTCCCGGCATCGTAGTAGCAGATGTAGCATGTCTTGCCTTCGGAATCGTATCCCCTGTCCCATGCCAACTGTTTGGCCTTTCCCCATGCCGCGTACTCGATGGCCTGACTGGCTGTGATTCGGAGACCACCGTAGTGAGAAACCGTCTTGCCAATGTCTTCGTAGACCACTTCCGCACAAGCTTTGAGGAACTCCTTGATGTCCATGCGAGGGTCCACAAATTGAAGCCTCAGGTCATAAAGGTGCTTTGCGCAAGCCAAGGTGTACTTCTGGGACGCGACCAAGTCATTGAAGGAGCCGATTTGATGCTGCATCTTCAAGGCTGAAGTATGCGCGCACCCAATGCAGTGTCCAGGATACCCGTTTCCGGTCGGCTTGAAGAAGGCCTGTGCGTAGCACTCAGCCAACTTCATTGCGTCACATCCAGAGCAATAGAACGTTCTCCCTTTGACATAACCGGTGTTCGGGGTCGCATAGGTGTCGATCCGGAACCAGTAGTGCCTGTTGTCGTAGTAGGCTTCGGGAACGGTCATGGCGATGTCAAAATCCTGCCAGGTGACTGTGGACGATTCAGCGACCGTGTCACCCTGGGCACCCGACCTGATCTGTTGCTGCTGTTCTCCCGTAAACCATGTCTGCGAAATCCTGGTGGACGTCTTGACTTCACTCTTGTCCTCCCAAATCTCGACAAGCGACGGGTGAGCGACTGAGTCGGCGCGGACAGTTTCGTCCCATGAGCGAACTTTCGATGCCTCAACAAAGCACGTGGATACCATCTTCTCGCAGAACAGCTGCTTCTCGTAGATAGCGAAGCCCAATTTGAACCTGACCCGATTGTCCGGTGCTGGCACCTTTTCGGCTGACAGTGTATGCACGCCTGACGACGCATGTTTCATCTGGCTGTACATTCTTGACCAAAACGAAGATCCATGAATCACCACGCATGCTCGGGCCCGCAACTCCAGTTCAATGTACATTCCCAGCGCGTGGAAACCGTTGAACAGAGAAGCTTTGTGCTGAAGGTAATTGCTAGCTGCTCCAACGAACCGTAAGTCGTGATTGATGTTGACAATTGGAGGGCGCGTGGTACGCTTCCCTGCCGCAATGATAGGGTCAACGTACGTGATCTTGAGCTGTCGCTGCAAGTCAGTGCGAATTGCTGCTCCGTCTCCAACCTCACTCATCGGAAAGGACATGTTCTCGATGAGGATCGCTTGGAGAGACAGATGGTAATGCAATGTGACGGTTGCAAGCTGCTCTTCAGTCAAGCCATCCAATGTCGCATTCACAGATTCCAACGATCCTTTTGTGACTTGGAAGTTGTAGTTGGCACCTGCGGTGATCGACGGGCTCACAATGTAGACCTCGCTCCATCCATGCATGCCGAGGTTCTCTCTCACCGTGTGCGTTGATCCCCTGGTCCTTGCAACCATGTCAAAGTCCTGGACGAGGATTGTGCACTGAGAGCGCATAGTCGCGGCATCGGGTTTGCCACCCATACCCAAACTATTGCGAAATCCGTTCAGCGTGTTCATGGTGTTGATCCTTGCTTCTTCCGGAATTTCATCGTTGTCGACAAGATCGCTGTCTGCCTCGATCATCACTGCCGAGGTAAGCATTGGAGGAGAAGGAAGATGCACGCATGATACCAATGCCAATGCATGGTACAGCCGTGAATACATTCGTAACCACACCTTTGTACTCAGCTTCACGTAGACCTTCAGGTTGAGACCCTTGTCATCATTTTGAGAGACGGAACGGATCCTTGCCAAATAGGTCACCAGTCTTCTGACGTAATGCTGAATCGGTGTGGTCCCCA